GTGGCTGCTGGAGTTGTCGATGTATCATGGACACCAGGAATGTTAAACCTCGCTGATGCCTTCACGAAGCGATTGACCCTGGAAAGACGGGGACGCCTGTATGGCGAATGGACGTATTAGTCATGTTATCGAACTGAATTCCATCGTTGGTATCCAGCTCGAGGGGACCAAATAAAGGTGACTGTGCTATAGGATGCGAGATGCGTTGTACTGATACGAACGTGTACGATTGCAAGCGGTCTGTGAGTAGTAAGGATAAATCGGCTGCTTACGAAAGCTGTCGATGAACGATGAACACACTCTTTTTAAGAATACGTTTGATTACAATACTGTCTACCGTCTACCATAGCTACTACTTCGTAAGTCAACAACATCGTAACGCAGTGACGATAATATTTACATGAAGCTAAGCAGTTCATCAACAATTGACGTTGTATACAGGGTGCAGTACCAGTACCAGTACCAGGAGGATAAACTAAATCAATCAATCAATCAATCAATCAATCAATCAATCAATCCACCAATCAATCAATCAATCAATCATCTGATTTTGAAGATACTCCTCTCCAGCGATCCCATATTCTTCATCACTACGGTACTACGGTAGTTTGATATGCAGCAACCAGCCATCCGATTCACGAACCGCAATGCGACAGAAGTAAGTAAGGATTCCACTCGTATATTCATACCATTCGTATATTCATATATATGAATTGATTCCAGCAACAGTATTGCAATCACGAGTTGAAAGTGGGAGGAGATGAATGGAGGCGATGAATTCATCTAAATGCCATTCGTCACCATGCTGATGTATATACATTTACTCAATGAATGGATGATCATCATCACATACGCCCAGCAAACGACATTATCATCATCATCATCCTCATCCTCATGACAACGATCAACACCATATGCTCCTTTTCGAATGCAAATATGTCATCGTCATCCCACCAATCAGCCGAAGCAGCCTTTTTTTTCCCCTTCCAAATACTATTCCCGCTTCAGATTACGATATCAATGGAGGCGACAAAATATTTCTTGGAGTGGTACTTTGGATTGTCGCCAATACTGCAATCCTTCTTTGTCCATCGCAGGAGGAGCTGTGATGCCCCAAAAAAGCTCGGGACAAACAACGGCTCAAGACACAAAAAAGGAAACGAAAAAAGGAACTTGAGCAATCAAGCAGAGGCAGCACCACTAGGCGACGATCATACTGAGTGATGTGAATGAATGAGTCAATTGTTTGTGGTTTCTTTTTGAGTTCGTTGCACCAAACATCCTACCAGGGGCGCAACCTCTACCAGTATTTTTGGCAATCATATTGCACGGAAGTATATAGTTTTTCAAAGTTACAATCCAATAAATGCAAAAGCAAGTACGCGTACTTGGATCCTTGACCAGCAGTTCAAAGGTATGTGGTAATCGGCTGCTACAGTGCAACCTGCATCATTCAGAACCATTTCGTTTTCAGGTTTCAGCATCCGGCGTTTGCAGTACGTTTACCTGGTACCACGCGGTACACCGCATAAAAGTACAAACAACTTCCTAACTTGAATCAAAACATTATTCAAATTATCAGTCACTATTGTTGCTCGATTGGATGACATTCCCAGTGTGATCGGCCCGAGACGATGCGGCGGCTGCTTTGCGATTCTTCAAATTGGGGGTCGATTGCTCATCGGAATTCAAGATCATGTTATTCCCTTGACACCACTCGGCAATGGTACTACTAGTACAGCGTTTCGATAGCTTGGCTTTTGCAACGACTTTCCCTCCAGACCGTAGCTCCATCGTTCCATCATTCATATCTATCCATTTGGCATCAAGGAAAGTTGAACCAGCATTGGGATACTGTGTAATGCTGCAATTGTTGTAGACCACGACATATCGTTGCTTCCAAAGATAGGGAGGCCAACGGCTTTGAATGCGCAGCCAGCCTTTGTGAACCACATAATTGATAGAGCCCTGTGGTATCCCTTGTAACTCACTTTGAGGAATACTGTCTGAAGGTGCTACCAGAACCGGAACTGGAACCGGAACTGGAACCGCAGTCTCGTGCTTCCTCATTTCATCGTCTCCATTTTCGGGGCTTCCCTTTTTTGTATCTTTGTCTCCATCCTCTCGAGCTTCTGCAGCCAACATGGCATTTTCCGTTTCCCTTTCTTCCATTGACATCTCCAAGCATTTCGACCCAAATTTTTCAAACAACGGCTTCACATTGGGGTGTACATATTCATATTCTTTCCCATCGCTGCTGACGGCCTGCACAAGACCGCAGCGTTTGAATTCCTCGTCGTCAATGAGCAAACCAATGCCATCATACGACTTTTGAATGCTGGCTAAATGGTTCTTTTTCATGGTGACTGGACCTTCCGCCGAGGCTGCGCTATCGACTCTGTCTGCGAATTTTTCCAGCATCATATCCGCAAGGCCATCCTCTTCGGCATCGCCTCCCATTCCATCAACCAACAAACCTTGAATCTCTGCAAAGAGATCCGAAGTCTCCAACAACCCTTCCTCCGCCCCACTCAACGATGGAAGGGGGAGACCGAATCCACGGCCCACTGCAAGTCCTACTTGGACAATCTTCAGGCCAATCAGAATAGCAGGTCCATACTTCTTGATCCAATCCTTGGCCAATTTAATATCATACCCAATCGCTTTTCCATCTGTTCCCACAACTGGTTGTAGCGATATTGGACAAATGAAGCACAACCTTGCCTTGGTAGTGAGGCTGCTGGCATTCTTAATCTTTGACAGTGTTGACAGAAATCTAGAGAATTGCTTCTCTTGATGATTGTCTTGTTCCGCTGCTGGAAGAATCACAAGAAACTTTGGCTGTGCTTTCTTTCCTTGAACGATCCCTTTCAAAAGAGCATTGGCCGTTTCTTGATAGCTTTTTAGACGGTTTAGTGACTCGTGGATCTTGGAGAATCCATGTTGCATGATTTGCCGATTCTCAAGTACAAGTGATTTCATCTTTCCAAACTCTTCTTTTACCACTTCCTTCACATCATCGGTAGTCTTGCCACTGAAAAATGGATCTAAAAGAATTTCATTCATTGAAGGCCTATCCTTGGGATGGCGTTTAAGAATTTTCTTCAGCAGGTTTTTGGCAGCATCATCTTGAATGCTATTCTCAAGAATTGATTCAACTTCCAAATCATCTTGTCCCCAATGGTACAACTCTCGCATCGAATTACCATCAAAGATATCATCATCAGTGTTCACTTGGAACAAAGTGTGCTTGCTGCACAACGTATACAGGAGAACGCCAAAAGACCAGACATCGAACGAACTATCCGCACCAACCACCTCGAACATCGGTAAGTTACCTTTTGAGGTCACCATACGTTTTGTTTTAGGGACAGTGTTTCCAGTCTCTGGATCCTCAAATGTTGTCGTCTCATCATGTCCCAAGAATGATTTGACTGCATATCCGATCTTGGGGCTTCTGGTGGTGAACTTTGGGGCACGCTTTTGTTGCTCTTCTTTGTTTTGATCTTGGAAGTAGGAAACATATTTTTCCTTCTCTTTATAGTTCGCCAGCTGGTAAATCATTTCAGGTGGAATGACACCGGACGAATACTTCTCACCAGCGAAATCCTCACCAATCTTTGCAGAAGCATCCATGTCAATCAACACCATGTGCCCATTTATGCGGATGACGTTCAACATCTTCAAGTCCCCATGTATCAGTCCTTGCTTGTGTAGGTGTGCCACCGCTTTTCCAATCTCCTTCATCAGTGTTTGAATTGTCAGAATATCGAGCCGCTCACTTCGGAAGATTGTGTCCAAATTCCGTTCTCCATAAGGCATCACCAACACATTGCAGTAATCCTCTGCCTTGGCACCCTCCTTCTTTAGAAATGATGATGTACCGTTACCATCTTCTTGTAGGATTGAGTCCTTTAGTGATTCGACCAAATTGGCATCACTCTCTTTATCATGGCTTCGGATACTACCAACCACATATTTCGAATCCAGTTTATTGTTTATGCGGCAGTTCACTTCTCGGCGAAACTGGTCCTTGTTCCGCATAAACTTTAGAACCACAGTCCCACCAATTTCGGCCAAGCAAAAGTCCACAAACTCTTCTTTGGAAATTTTTTCATCTTTTTTGACATCTGCTCGTTGGAAGAGACCCTTGATGTTTTCCTTGTCGTGTGGGATCAACTCCATCTTGCCCAATATCTCCTGGAACAATTTCTTGCCTACTTCTCTTCCTTCATATGGTTCATACTTCTTTTCAAAGTACTCCCTCATCTTGGCATCCGTTGCCTTGACCACAACACAAGTTGCCGACTGGTGAATGGGTGGTCCTCTTGCAATATCGTAGCGGCCGAGAAAGAACAATCGTTTTTCAAACACTTTTTGGATGTGTTTGGATGCCACCGACTTTGCAGCACGATCTGATTGATCCTTGGTTTCGGCGAGCTCTCGGACTCTTTTGATATCCACAGTTTCAAGATAGTCCAATAACTTGCTCATGTCTGGGTCATCCGTTCCGTCGCCCATATTGTTCGCCAAGAATTGCAACCACCCATTGCGTTCCGGAATCGAAAGAAAACGACGTGTACCATCGACAATGGAACCAATATACATTGCTCTCACTTGGTGAAGAATCGATTTTTCGTCCCCCAACTTCTCCAGCAATTCGGAATTCTTGATTGGATTGCAAGCATAGACATTCACTATATCATTCAAAATAAGCAAAATATTTTTTTGATCTTCATTGAGTGATATGTACAATCGAATGTGAATCGCTGGATTGCCACTAGGAATCTTCAAAAATTGGAGATTGGGGCATTCTTCGAGGATATTCTTGGGGACAACCGTCACGTTGGGAGCAAAGTAGACTGTTTCAAGACTAGTACACTTGTAAAAGGGTCCTTCTCCAATCGTTTCCAACGCAGTTGCCTCGATGAAATCAATTTCCTTTAGCTTTGCACACTCTCGAAAGGCCTCCTTTCCAATCGTCTTGACATTGGATGGGCACTTGAAAGCAAGGAGACTTGCACAAAAACAAAAGGCTTGTTCTCCAATCGTTTCCAACGCAGTTGCCTTGGTGAAATCAATTTCCTTTAGACTTTTACACAGGTCAAAGGCCTCCTTTTCAATCGTCTTGACATTGGATGGGCACTTGAAAGCAAGGAGACTACGACAACTGCCAAAGGATGATTCTCCAATCGTTTCCAACGCAGTTGCCTCGGTGAAATCAACTTCCTTTAGACTTTTACCCAGTTGAAAGGCCTTATCTCCAATAGTCTTGACATTGGATGGGCACTTGAAAGCAAGGAGACTAGAACAATTGTAAAAGGCTCGATATCCAATCGATTCCAACGCAGTTGCCTTGGTGAAGTCAATTTCCTTTAGATTTTCACAAACTGCAAAGGCCTCCTCTCCAATCGTCTTGACATTGGATGGGCACTTGAAAGCAAGGAGACCAGGACAAACGTAAAAGGCTTGTTCTCCAATCGTTTCCAACGCAGTTGCCTCGGTGAAATCAATTTCCTTTAGCTTTGTACATTCCTCAAAAGCGTTCTTTCCAATAGTCTTGACATTGGATGGGCACTTGAAAGCAAGGAGACTAGGACAGATTTTAAAGGCATATGCTGCAATAGTTTTCAATGCAGTTGCCTCGGTGAAATCAATTTCCTTTAGACGTTCACATTTAAAAAAGGCGCTCTCTCCAATAGTCTTGGCATTGGATGGGCACTTGAAAGCAAGGAGACTAGGACACTTGTAAAAGGCTCCATCTTCAATCGTTTCCAACGCAGTTGCCTCGGTGAAATCAATTTCCTTTAGATTATCACAATATGCAAAGGCTTGAACTCCAATCGTCTTGACATTCGATGGGCACTTGAAAGCAAGGAGACTAGGACACTTCCGAAAGGCTGAATCTCCAATCGTTTCCAACGCAGTTGCCTTGGTGAAATCAATTTCCTCTAGATTATCACAATATGCAAAGGCTTGAACTCCAATAGTCTTGACATTGGATGGGCACTTGAAAGCAAGGAGAAAAGGACACTCGCAAAAGGCTCGTTCTCCAATCGTTTCCAACGCAGTTGCCTCGGTGAAATCAATTTCCTTTAGCTTTGCACATTGCCTAAAGGCATATTGTCCGATAGTCTTGACATTGGATGGGCACTTGAAAGCAAGGAGACTAGGACAACTGCCAAAGGCATATGCTGCAATCGTTTCCAACGCAGTTGCCTCCGTGAAATCAATTTCCTTTAGCTTTGCACATTCCTCAAAGACTCCCTGTCCAATAGTCTTGACATTGGATGGGCACTTGAAAGCAAGGAGACTCGGACACTCGTAAAAGGCTGAATCTCCAATCGTTTCCAACCCAGTTGCCTTGGTGAAATCAATTTCCTCTAGATTTTCACATTTTGCAAAGGCCTTCTGTCCAATAGTCTTGACATTGGATGGGCACTTGAAAGCAAGGAGACTAGGACAACTGCCAAAGGCATATGCTGCAATCGTTTCCAACGCAGTTGCCTTGGTGAAATCAATTTCCTTTAGCTTTGAACAATATGCAAAGGCCTGCCGTCCAATAGTCTTGACATTGGATGGGCACTTGAAAGCAAGGAGACTAGGACACTTGTAAAAGGCAAATTCTCCAATCGTTTCCAACGCAATTGCCTCCGTGAAATCAATTTCCTTTAGATTTTCACATTCACAAAAGGCATAATCTCCAATAGTCTTGACATTGGATGGGCACTTGAAAGCAAGGAGACTAGGACACTTGCGAAAGGCCCATCCTCCAATCGTTTCCAACGCAGTTGCCTCGGTGAAATCAATTTCCTTTAGATTTTCACAAAACAAAAAGGCTCGTTGTCCAATCGTCTTGACATTGGATGGGCACTTGAAAGCAAGGAGACTAGGACACTTGAAAAAGGCTCCATATCCAATCGTTTCCAATGCAGTTGCCTCGGTGAAATCAATTTCCTTTAGCTTTGCACATTCCTTGAAGACTCCCTCTTTAATAGTCTTGACATTAGGCCCGCGCACAATCAACTTTGTCATGGTTCGTTTGATTTCTTCTGTGATTTCTTTGTCTTCACTATCGTACACAAATTCGACATGTTCGACAATCTCTTCTTCTTCATCATCGTTGTTTGATTTTGGTGGCATTTCTTCTTTCTCATCCATTGTACCCGGTACTTTTATTGTGTAATATCTGTACTGCTGTGTAATGAGTGAGTCAGTGATGATGATGAGGATACACGTTTAGACCTGTTTTTAACAAAAGTAGTCATTTTACACTTTTTATGTGAAATAATTAGGGATTTAACACTTTCATTTCACTCTGGGATTTCTGTGTAGCAAATGTACCATGTTCTACGTGTTTTATTTCTGCCACTTTTGCCGTTGACGTTGTCCGAGTGTGCCCGGTCCGACATTCCCGCCCGATAGCGAAACACATGGGTTCGCACATTTTTCTCACTAAGTTTTGGCGTGATTTACTAAGAAGCTATGACTGACGCTGGAGCAGTTGCCTCGCAACCATTTTATCAACACAATGTGAAAACAAAAGTCCTCAATGAAACGTCTGGGAATCCGCAGATTGATATGAGAATGGAGAGAAAATGACGAGGTTCCAAATATTGTATCGTCTACTACAGTACCTATTAAAATAATAGTTTTGGGTCATTTGGTAAATTTTTGAAAGCTTGAAGGGTGAAAACGACAGTATTTAATGATGATCGTAGAGCATTGTACCCGTACATTGTCTACACTGAAATGTCAGAGTAAAATAAAAGTGTTAAATCCCTAATTATTTCACATAAAAAGTGTAAAATGACTACTTTTGTTAAAAACAGGTCTAAACGTGTACCTGTACTGTAGATGATTGACGATCGACGATAAAACAATGACTCTGGCATGTACCGTGCACTACGCAAACCCTACAGTACAGTCAGGTGCCAGAATGACTTTGATGACGGGCACGCGCGTGCAATCAAATACAGCATGCAGCATTTGGAATATTGAAGATACGAGTATGAACCACGCACGCAGAGCTAAGCAGTTCATCAACAATTGACGTTATACAGGGTGCAGTACCAGTAGGATAAACTAAATCAATCAATCAATCAATCAATCATCTGATTTTGAAGACTCTCCTCTCCAGGGATCCCATATTCTTCATCACTACGGTACTACCGTAGTTTGATGGGTGGATGCAGCACGAACCGCAATGCGACAGAAGAAAGCAGGGATTCCATTCATATATTCATATGATGGAGTGCACGGACCGATTACTACTGGTGGCGGCATTCGAGTTTCAATTTGGATGCAGAGCAACAACTATATACGATGTACGATGCTACTGCCCTTTCCAGCCTCTACAAAATACTTCTGGGGGATCCTTGAATGAATGAATATGGTATGGTATGGTGTGATATGATATGGTACCGATAGGGCTGCTGCTTCTGGAAAAGTACAGTAGGCAATCCTAGTGCGTATATCTATGTATACATGCATCTGGGCCGTACATCCGTATATTGTAATACCTTTTGCACGCCG